ACTATATTTTTGTACCTATTAACCATCCCCACTATAACCCCACCTCCCCTTCCCAGCCTCTGATAACCATCATTCTACTCTCTGTCTCCATGAGATCAATTGTTTTTTTTTCATTTCATCATATTATGGGGGTAAAAACATTGTTAAGGTTACATATATTGCCCCTGCCACCCCTCCACCCCTGCTCCCACCGAGTCAGAGCTTCAAGCATGTCCCTTCTCCAGGTGGTAGGCATCATAAGTATACCCCCATCCCTTCCGCCTCCCCCCATCTGCCTGACACCTGATAAATGGTTGTTTTTCTGACATTTGGGTTACATTTTATATCTTTGCCTCTCCCTAGGAATGGTTAGAGGTATGCCCTTCCCCTCCACAATGCTCACCACATCCATAGGATGTGGAGATCAATTGTTTTTAACATTTACTCCCACATATGAGTGAGAACATGCGAGGTTTGTCTTTCTGTGCTTGGCTTTTCACATCACATGATGTTCTCGTTAATAGTTTAATATTTTGTCTACATCCTCCTTCTCTGGGAGGCTGTCACATCTTGGGACCATGGCAGACTTGCCTCAGCCTCAGTCTTCTAATTTTAGCTTGGGAAATCAGATAACTAAATTTGTTAAGATTATTTATAGAGTAAAAATAATTTTGCGGTGTTTATTTTGGCTATTCAGAAGATAAATTTTTTACTTAATATTTTTGTTCTATTTTACATACTTGAAATTATTAGAAAAGGAAATTCTAGATAAGTGAGATGTTCATCGTGTGGTATATTACAAATTCCTGATGAAATTAAATGTAACATAGAGAGAAGAGTAAGAAAAACGAGTGGTAATTTAGACTGAGCAAATGCCTACAGGAACTTTCCAAACTCATCTGTGTTCAGTTGTGTGAACAGTTTTTGAAGTATTCCTCTTACCTATGCCACGTGTATGAAAGTATAACCAATCTTCAGCATATGAATACACACATGGAGGATTTCAATAATATAATACAAGTGTGAATATTAGTAAAACATGTATAACTATAGATTGAAATGTGATCCTGTCATGTCAGTCCAGTAAAACCACCCAAGGGAGTCACTGGTGGATCTGGACCATCTGATCATCTTCATTGCAGTGTGGATCAAAGCAGATATGCTGAGTAAGTAACTGATTTTTCCTCAGTGCTTCAGAAAAGTGAATGGATTTTAAAATGTTATTGGAAATTTTAAAATATTACTAAAGCAAAAAGACTTTGGAGACAGTTTTTTGAGGGAGAGATTAACTGATTAAATATTGACATGGCAGAAGAGAGGGTCAGGTGCAACTACAGGACCCCGGCACCTGTCTGTCTGAAGGCATTTGTATCAGAAACACACGTGAGTCAGCAGGGAATGTGTCAAATATCTGATTTCTTAAGTGGCATGCTATAGTGTTCCAATATTAAAATTCTCACTACAAGCAAAATTCCCATTATTTAAATATGTGGCTATATCTTTAACACAATATACGATTGTGATAATTCCTGTAGCATTGTGGAGCCTTAGCATATAGCATAGAGTAAGTAATGCCCTGAAAGAGTAAGCCTCAATGAATACTTGGTGATATTTTTAAGCATGTATGGATCGCCTCCTCAGGTACTAGTACTTGAAATGATGGTGATGAAAGTTAGGAGATTGGTGGTTCTGAGCTGCCACCCATACTCCTTTGCCCTGCTCCTCTAGTAACTGTGTGATTGTGAATTCCCTTGGCCTGGCCCAAGGTGTAACATGTGTGTTTAGAATAGACACTTGTTATGGACTGAATGTTTGTGTCCCCCTTCTCCTCCCCCCACCAAATTCATATGTTGAAGCCCTGACCCCCAACGTGATAGTATTTGGAGGTGGGGCTTTAATTAGGGTTAGATGAGGTCATAAGGGTGGAGCCCTCATGATGGGATTGGTGTCCCTGTAAAAAGAGACACCAAAGAGACTCTCACTCTCTCTCTCTCCCCCTGCTTGTGCACAAAGAGGTCATAGGAGCACACAATGAGGTGGCAGCCACCTACAAGCCAAGAGAAGAGGTCTCAGAATGAAACCTACCTTGCCAGCACCTTGATCTTGGACTTCATGCCGCCTCCAGAATTGTGAGAAATAAATGTCTGTTGTTTAAGCCACAGTATGGTGTTTTATTATGGCAGCTAAGACACCACCTTGTCTGTGCGTATAGCAAACTAGACCATATTGAGATCATAAGTCATTTTGGCCACCATGTTCTAGACAGTTGAGCTGACTGGATCAAACTGTCAGTTTTTAAATACAAAATGGAATAAACAGGGAATTTCCCTCCCTAGATTTTATAAGCAGAAAAAAACACCATCTGATGGCAGTTTTCCCGCTTAATTGAATAGCGAATCAATAAAAAAGTGTGAATCTCCCTATACATTTACCCCATTTGATGGGGACATGATTTCACCACCGATTAGACCAAGGCTCCTAAGTATTGCAGAACCTAATGATTTGGCCACTGAAGAAAGAACAATGACCTAGCTGGAAAAATCTTAAAAGTTTCTGTTTATTAACTGGAGATGTTTTTGCTGATCATTTTTCATAAAAGTAGTTTATATTTTAAGACTGGCAGGTACTTTTTTAAATCAGTATTCAAAAGATATTTGTTATTGGGAAACCACATTAAAGAATAATGATGCTATTCCCAGGTTATTTATAGCTATAGATCCATATTCTTGCAATGCCCAATGTTTCGTTCAAATTGGCTTATCCCAATGTTCTTAATTAATAATTACAGTTAATTTTGATGAGATACCTGATTTACTAGCATAAGGCTAAAGACTTATGAGTAATTGAAATGGTCAACAGTGAGACAAAACAATATAATTTTTATAGTATGTAGCAAACTGAGATAATAATTTAAAACAAGCTCTGTTTCTGAATTTTAATAACTAATAACAATATTTAAGTGGTAAAAAATCGTTTTCCTATCACTGGACAACAACTTGAAAGGAATGCTATGGAGGGGGATTAAAACTTAAAATATAGGGTTAAACTAGATGATCCTTTATGGTCTCTTCTAATTCTGAGATTCTTTCTATGAAATAAGAATTTGAAAGAATTCTTTGGTCTACAAATAAGAGGGGTAAAAATTTGTCCAGAGCTCTGATCTTGGTTATTGCTATAGTCTGAATGTTTGTGTCCCCCCAAAATTCATATGTTGAAACCTAAGCCCCAAGGTGATGGTATAGGAGGCAAGGAATTGAGAGGAGATTAGGACATGAGGGCTCTATTCTTATTAATGAGATTAATGCCCTTATAAATGGGGCCTGAGGGAGCTTGTTTGCCTCTTCCTCCACATGAAGACACAGTAAGAAGGTGCCATCTATGAGGAAATGGACCCTTACCAGACAACAAATCTGCTGATAACTCAATCTTGGACTTCCCAGCCTCCAAAATTGTGAACAATAAATTTCTATTGTTTGTAAGTTCCCAGTCGAAGGCATTTTGTTATAGCAGCCTGAATGGACTAAGACAACATACATATATTTAACTCTTTTTTAAAATGAACATTGGATTTAACTGTGAAGCATATAAAAAAGGAAAAAATTTTAAGTTGCTCTGCCCCCACACATCCATTTAAGCAAGAAAAAACATAAATAAAATATGTCATTTCAGTAAAGAAAAAATCTGCACAATTTTAAATTTCAACTGTTTTATAAATGGTTATTTGACTTTAACCATTAATGAGATTCTCAAAGCAATAAGTCAATACAGTCCTTTGCACACAGTAGAAATCATATATATGCATGTCTGTTTAGCTAAGTGAATTCAATCTAACTTCCTATTTCAAATCTGATAACTATAATAAAAAATTTATGTGAAACAAACATTTCTGGTTAATATAGTACATTTTAGTGGTCCTATATAGGTCATGTAAGATTCATGATTCACATGGAAAAGAGAAGAGCATGAGAGAATCAAAAAAACCTCTGCAAATTAAATCAGCTAAATTTTATATTTTTGAAAATTATATAGGACAATAATTTTAAGAAAATTATATATATTCAGAATTTAACCTTAAGCATGAAACTATTATACTAAGCACCCTACATTATTCTGAACTTACTAAAATCCTAGGAGTTATGTTCAAAGAATCTAAGATGAAGATGTGTGTGTGTGTTTGCAAGTAAGTATGCAAAATTCACCTTGAGAAATTTTTGTTTCAGTGATCACAGAAATGTTTCTCCAAAAAAGATTTAACCAAAACATGTGTCAGTAGCCCTCCTCTAGTAGAAACAATGATAAAATACTATGCAGTGAAATGTGCTTAGAACATTTTTTAAATGGTAGTTAATTTAATGCTTGCTGAAACCCTGTGTATAAAACATATATGCAGACATAGTAAGAGTTATGACTGATTAATTTTTAAAATTTTTATTGAATGATTTTTAACAGGTTCACATTATAAAAGAATGTGCACTTGTATTAAATTGCAGCTATTTTGGACACCACTTACAAAATCATTTATCATAATCTAATCAAAAACTATTTTGCCTGCTAGTCAAGAATATAACTCCCCACTATTAAAAAAATAGTAATAAGTAAAATAAAATTGAATCCTGGCAGAATCCATGACTTGAATGTGTCATGAGAAATGAGAATGTGGCCCTAGATACTGCCAGAAAGAGCAGACCAGAAATCAGCCTGCAGATCCTGAATTTTAGGAAGCATTAACTATAGATCACTAAAACTCTTTAAATATAATGCCCCAAACTATCCCCCTTTTAGAGTGATTCAGCAAGTATCTGTTTGTTCAAGATACACGGACTGAGTGCCTACATTGGACTCTGTTTACGCTGCATTGATGGCCTGTGTGAGTGTGCAGCCCTGTCACTAAGGAAAATAACCAGAACTTTCTTTTAAAAATCATATTTGTAAATTATATTAATTTCGAGGAAAGGCTATATCTAAGATTACTAATCAGAGAAGTCACCAAAATAATATGCCTATGGCCCTAGTTAAGAAAACTGAACTTTGTCAAGGGGAAAAAGCCTTTCTCTTAAAAAAGATTACAGAATTCCTTCTCCAAAAAATATAGCATCTCATACATAGTAGATAGTATAGCATAAAACAATGTGGTTTTCAGTACAGGATCATTCCCTATGCATACGTGAAAAGTCCAAATGTTAAGTATTAGTTAAACAAAAACTTGAGATCCCAAAATGTCTCAGCTTCCTTATCTCTAAACTAGATTTATTTCATAGAACAAAGTATTTTTCCCATTTTAAAATAATACACACTGCAATTGCTATTCCTTAAAGCAGTGAAATAGTTAATAGTTTTGTTTATAAAGCTTGCTGTTTCTTCTGATTTAATATTCTTCAAAATTAATTTAAAAAAACACTAGATTTCTCAGACTCAACAGAAAACACAATATAAACTCTGAGGGCATGAGTTGGTTGGAGCCATCTCAGAGTAGTAGAAACTGTGTCGTAAATTTTTGTCTCCATCCTGATCCTAATCGTGTTGCCATCTACGTTTGTATATGCAGTTTCACATTTAATACATAACTGGCATCCTATTAGATTCTTTTTAGAGTAGGACCCTGAGAATAAGCCCATTGAGAAATCACGTATTATTTCTAGCACCAGTTTGAATTTTTAAAGTGTCTAACTTTCAAGAAGGCAGAAGGAAACAAAAATTTCCCCATAAATGAAAAACTCAACACCATGTAAAGAAGAGTATAAACTTGGCATGAAAGTGCCCATCTAGTTTCAACATCTGCACCTAAATAAACATTTTTAAAATACGTAAATCTTCTAATTTTGAAAAAAATAAATTTGTAAAAATGTGGAATGCTATTGATAGGGTTCAAAGTCCAGGCATAACCTAGGTAGTCATCTGGCTACAATAATCGGATGTGGTTTTCTCTGCAAATTCGAGGACACCTGGCCCCGTTTCAGGTGCTGTTAGCCGTAGGCGCAATTGGCATCATTCCCGTGAATCCAGAGGCAGATCTGGGCGTATTTGAGGGGAGTGATGCGCACGGCCACGTTGTAGTCCTTCTGAACACCGTCGACGTCCACCCACTGGTGGCCCGAATAGATGGCAATGATTTTGCGCTTCCACTTCTTTTTGTCTGGATCTTTCAGGCGCAGGTAGATCCCGGAGCCGGTGGAGCCCGACTCGGCATCGCAGTATTGGTAGAGGAGATCGTTGGATTCATCGGACACGCTACAAAACCGATAGACCAACTCATCAGCCCTATCGTTATCAAATCCTGAGAAGTGGATCATTCCACCAGGCAGCTTCTTGATGGTTGGGCTGACGCCTAGTTCCATGTATTTCTTTTTGTGAGCACGCTTGAGCTCCAGAAGAGCATAGTCATAGTCCAAGGCCGTGTCTTCCCTCCCTCCTCTTGCCCAGCCTTTGGGAATGTGGGTATTCTTGACCCGGGTCCACTGGAAGGAGGGCCTCCCTTCAGCCACCCTCCGCCCGCGGCCAGATGCCTTTCTTCTCCTTCCACCCTTGGCTGTGCCCTGCAGGCTCTCCTTGGTAGCCTCTCCCTGGTCACCACCGTTAGCTTCTCTCCTGCTCCTCTTAGAACCTCGGCGTTTCTTGCCACCGCCTTTCTTTCTCATCTTCAGCAATCCTACCCTTAGCTTTTGGCTCCCTCTGACGTAGTCCTTTCCATCATGAACGCAGTGGGCAGCCGTGAGGACGTGCTGAGGGGAGATGAGAATGCCACTGCAGCCTGTGGAGAGCTTCACCGCTGTGCTGAAGGGGAAGTTGGTTAAGAACCTTTTGTCCAAGATGCTGAACCTGCTGTCGGTGCCGTATACCTGTCTCTTTCTCCTGACAGGTGCTCTCCTCACGGTGCTATTGGGAGTCGGCTCAGGGACTAAATCTCGTACTTTCACCCGGGTTAAGGTTCGGGTGCCATTCTCAAAGACAGTCTCATATGAAAGATAATCCTCCAACTGGGAAAGGCTGGGAGCGGGGAGTTCTTTCTGGCATTCAATGCCACACGCTCTATTTACTGCCATCTTGGCCTCTGCCTCAAAGGTGGGGCTGGTGAGATGGAAAGTCTTGTCGCTGACAATCCGGGGCACTTTCCTCAGGTGCCACATAAAATCCTGTTCCGTCTCAGATCCATCAGTGAGGGTCCACGCAGGGGTGAAAAATATCAACCAAAACAGCATATTTTCCATTTTGCTCTTCTGTTTTGTCCTTAAAAATAGAAAAAGAAAGAGAAGCTTTACAATGTTTTCTTTTTAAACGTGACTTATGCATTTCATTTAGGCCTTGGATCCTAAATGTACCCTCACCACTTTGCCCTGCTTAGATTTTACTGAGATTAAACACTCTACTAAGTGAGCTCATACAGACTTCCAAAATCAGTAAACTGGTTTTTTTTGTTTGTTTGTTTTGTTTTTTGAGACAGAGTCTCATTCTGTTGCAGGGGCTAGAGTGCTGTGGCATCAGCCTAGCTCACGGTAACCTCAAACTCCTGGGCCCAAGTGATGCTCCTGCCTCAGCCTCTCGAGTAGCTGGGACTACAGGCATGCACCACCATGCCTGGCTAATTTTTTTCTATATATTTTTAGTTGTCTGGCTAATTTTTTCTATTTTTAGTAGAGATGGGGTCTCACTCTTGCTCAGGCTGGTCTCAAATTCCTGACATCAAACAATCCGCTCACCTCGGCCTCCCAGAGTGCTAGGATTACAGGCGGGAGCCACCCCACCTAGCCTCAAAATCAGTAAATTGTTTTTCACCCAACCTTCCCTCCCCTATCCCTGACCTAGCGCTCCTCCCACCCCCATCTGCCGCCTCCACCTCTGCCTCCCCCAACAGCCTAGTGCTCAAGAGAGAAGGGCAACAGCAAACTTGGATCCTCTATTGCCTAAGCCGCACCCTCCTCCTCCCAGGGTCTCCTACAACCTTACTTTGAGATAATTTTGAAATAAAGATAGGAGCAGATGTCCTGCAGTCTGTCCCCACCCTTAGCTCCTTAAAAGCAGGGAGCATAAATTCCTCTTCTCTAGAGTGTAAATGCCTAGAACGGAGCTCAAAAAAATGTTCATTTGTGAATGTTATTTGTGGATTTTCCTGAACCAGGATTTGCAGCCCAAGCTGATCTGAAGGTGCAATGCAAATCATTGGGTAATGTTCTAAAACCAGAAGTTTTAGAAATAAGTGGGGTCAATCTGCTATTGATCTGCTTTAATTTTTATAGAACCCCTGGTCATAAAAAGAAAACATACAACATAGGCCATTCTATGCTAAAGTAAGAAAAAAGTACCATGCACTTTTTAAAAACAAAGTTGTGCTTGCAACCATGATTGAAATAAAGCAACATACAAAATGATTTGCAGTGGGATTTTACTATATATTAAAGTTAGTTATAAGACTTTATGGAGCACAGGCTGTGGTTCTAGATTTGCCACTTGTGGGGAACACGAGCATGATTATAGATATCATTGATATCTTTGATCAATGATATCAATGATATTATAGATATCATTGTCCCTGTTCATCACAGGTCTCATCACATAAGATCAGTGCTTGTGTGCTAAATACTTTTAAAGGTGCCAGTACTTGATAAATTACATAATACCTCTTCTGTTCACATCTTCTTGCCCTCTTTCCCTCTTCTTGAGGCTTACTGGCCTGTAAATGTATCTATTTAGTAGAACTGATGTTTCTTGGCCATCACTTGGAGGTGGGGGTAGTGGTAGCACTCTTTGGAGCAGCAAATGTGAACCTGTGTCACTATTATTTGACAGCTATGCTCTAAGCCATTCTTGACTAATAGTTAAAATATCAAGGCTTAGTGAATGATTTGTACTTTGTATAGAGCAGCAGCAACTCAAGGTTAGATTATTCCTACAATATCTTCAGTCTCAAAGCTTTCTGATCGGTTTTCTTTGCATGGAAGATAAAGCAAATGCAGAATGTTAGCAATGGCCCACAGCCTGGGTACACCCGCAGGATGTGTGCACTGCCACAAAAGGCAAAACTGGGCTCTGATGCAGAGTTCAATATGGGCATCCATTGATATGACAGTTTATTTTACCATACCCAAGTGAAGCATTTTATTAACAAAATAATAATTCTTTTAATAAAACAAATGTATACTATATTAACCTATTTATTAAACATGATGTATTCACTGGAACAGGACATAGTTACTTTGAGCCATCATCCATTTGAAACTATTAAGCAAATTTAGACTAATCTTTATCATGAGTTGTCATCAGTAAAATTATATACAGGTATTGCAGTTTCCATTTTTTCATCTGCTCACATTTGTATGGTGAATTATAGTGATTCTAGTTAATATTAGACTGTAGTGCTTGCTTAAAAGCTTGTAATTTGTTTTGTTTTGGAGACAGGGCATTCTTCTGCATATAGTGTTGGATATTGTTTAAAAAAATCAATAAAGGAACATACTTTTAGAAAAAAATCTGCCCTCATGTCACAATATTTTCTAATCATCACCACTGCAAATTTGACTTGATACAAAGCAGTAATATTATATTAATATTTTCTTTCACCTTATATGCAATTTTCACCAAGAGTATTTCATCAGTTTGATTTAAGTGAATTGGAGTGAAAAAGACTCATAATTCTGTAACTCTGCTGAGCCCTTGAAATGGTAGTTCTCAAGATGAAAAATTATGTCCTTAGCTTAAAAAAAAAAAGTATCTTTTAAACTACTTGATTGTTAGCAAAATGTCAATCAAGAAAGTTTTTCTGGTGTGGGAAATTTTTTAAATTGGTTGCATATAGCCCACTATGACAAGAGCTGTCCATTATGTGCTCAATATATGATTATATTAAAGACCTCAATATATGATTATATTAATGGATTTATATTTAAATCCATTATTCTAGTCAAAGGCTTTGGCCAATACTTTGGAAGTTTTCCATACCATCAGTCCCTTTTAAACAATGCTTGATATAAAGCAATGATTTGATTCAGCAAATGATAATACCAGGGACACAGGCATTGTTTTCCCACCAAGTGTGTGCTCAGATGAACACTCCTCCCACAGCAGTTAAGAATGGTGATTGAGAGCCCAAATTTGGTTTGCTCACCAAAAGGCAACACGAGACCATCGGTTCTCAGATTATAATCCCTGAGCCAATAGCATCAGCTTCCTTACCTGGGAGCTTGTTAAAAATGCTAATTCTCAGGGCCCTGCCTACTGCTAGACACTCTTCTAGAAGGGTGGAGGGGGTGTTTCCCAGCTATCTATGATGATTCAGACACTGGGTAAAATTTGGGAACCACAGCAGCAGCCCAGCCCCTGGTGTAGCACCATGAGCCACACCCCACAAGGCAGTCTTCCCAGGGACCATGGCTGTCCTGGCTTTCCAATGGCATCGGCTTCCTCGCTGGAACCTGTCTGGAGCCCTTTGAGGGAGTCTGTCACAGCGCACCGCAGGACTGCAAGCCTTGCCCACATCTATCCTTGGGCGTGGGAAGGGCGGAGCTACATAATGGGACCTCGGAATCACAGTAATAAGAGGACGCGGATTTAGTGAGCCTGTCTAATTTGGCCTGTAATTTAAAATTGGACAACTGCTTAAGGACACTTTCTTTTGGAAAATCTAAGTTTGTCTTGTGGTAAAATGTCAATGTAATGTAAATGTAGCTCTTCCGGATAGAGCAATCCCCTGTGCAGTGGATACATCCACATGCGCCCTTCGTCCAGAAAGCATTACACTCCACGGTCTAAAAAGACACAGTCCCAATGGGTGGGGCAGCATTAATGTTTTGAAAGCTCTAACGTCCCTCTGTCTTTCCCATCTCACTCCTTTCTCCTGTCTTCCATTATAAATGTGGACTTCGCTGTCAATTTCCAGATGGTTTGGATTTGGAGGCTTCAAATTCCAGTTTTGGTTAATGAAAGCGAAGTGGCAGTCACCACTCTCCACCATGAGTCAGTGTACACATTACCGATTCAGGGCTGGCTCATGAAGACAGATGGAGTAGAAGAGAATTAAGGAGAAAGCAAGAATGTCTGTACATGTAGATGAACTTGTACTGATGGAACAGATGTAAATTCCACATGTGTACCTAGCCTATTAATAGAAATGACCACACATAACGACAAGAGATAATTTACTATTATTATCCTTTTGTTGTTTGTTTATGGTATCTTGGAAATGTGTTGCTGACGGTATCTAGAATATTTGTGCATCTATACCAGCGTAGTGATTAAGAGTACAGACCAAGGAGCGAGAAGATGGGGGCTCAATCCTTCCCACTTATCAGGCATATACATACGGCATATGTATTTGAGCAATTCATTAACCCTCTAAGTTTCACTTTCCTCATCTGCAAAGTGCGGATAATACTAATCTCTACTCCATAAGGTTATTATGGAGATTAAACGAGATGATATATGCAAAGAATTATTACTGAGCCTAGAGCATAGTAAGCAGTCAATACGTATGTTATTCTGTAATTATTATTCTACCTTAGTGGGTGAATTAGTAATACTTTAAAATAGGTTATTATATAAGCCAAAGTGAGAGAACTTGTAGTTTTCTAAAGAGTCAATTTTACAGCCAAATTTTTTTATTTCAAGATAAGTTTCCAACCCACTCTAAAATTCCCCTTTTCTTTGTTTCGTTTGTTTTTTGTTCAAGGACAGCTTCACTTTAGAAACCTCCCAAATGAATGCTTTCCTAATTACTCATTTCTATGAATATCCAGAGCTCTGTAATATATTTTTCTCATTGTTATTAAACTTAAGTATGATTAAACATTATCCAGCCACAAAACACTTAAGTTGTATTTTCTGCACCTTATTTATAGCCCGGATCTACATTAGGGATTCTGGAACTGTATCAGACCCTCAGCCCAAGAAGAAACAGAGTCAGTGTCAAAATAGTTACTGTAAGGGAGTGATGTACAGTGAAAGAAAAACCTAACTTTTGGGTGAGTCTATCTAGAGTGTATAGAATTTTACAATGAAATGACATAATTATACTCTGAGGCTCAGTTCCCTCTTTTGTTTTTTGGCCCTGAAAAGTTTATTGTCTAGCTTAGGTACAGAAGACAGACTAGTGAAGGATTAGATGGTTGTCCACTATATTAAATATTTCAAATTAATTATTTTTCCTGTACATAAGGCAAATGAAGATGCTGACTCGCCGTCACAGGGTCTGTACTGAATGGCCCTCCCTTACCAGATGAGAGATTCACACTTGCCCC